AGCCAATAGCATGATCAGGATTTATGCCCAGGAATTAAGATTCTCAAACCGCTTGGAGAATGAGATGTCTGTCCTTACCACAGCTTGTGTTGGCACTGCGAAACGTGGTCTGTGAAGAGGAGAAACCCTTCCCTCAGCAAAGGAAAGATGACACACAGCAGCGGCGAAGAGACTTCAAGAGGACTCGAAAGGCGCATCGGCTCCCCGGGGAAGGCGGGGGGGTCGTGGGCTGGAGCGGGACCCCTGGCACCCACGCTGCCCCGGCTCCGCTGCTTGACCCGTCCTGAGATCTTGCGCAAGCGCCATCGCTCTGTGTTCAGCGTGATGCTGGCCTGGCACTAGCCATAACAAAAATCAGATCCAAAGTTGCTTTTATGCACACAGAAGAGCAGGAGAACCAGTGACATTAATGCATCCAGGAGCTACCTAAGGCTATTGAAATGGGGGATTACAAGCATAAAGGCTTGGCTGACTCTCACTAGACCTCATTAAAGTCTAATAATCTCTATAAAGATGCAGCATTGCACATACGCAGCAGCCCTAGCCCATCTGAGCTAAAGCTCAGCAAAGGCTCTATTAGCCATTTGGTAGTTTGGGCATGAAACCATAAAATGTGTTTGTGTTGTGAAAGCACTTAGGTCAGGATTCCCTCCGCGAGGCTCAACCTCGACAGCTTGGTTTAGGAACAAAAGGGCCAGGCTTGTCCTGGCGAGGGATGTTACGGCATCTGCGACGTTGCTGGAGACTTCAGGGGATGCAAAAAACTAGAAGCAACAAAAACGTTAAAAGCTTTGCGCTTCCACTGCCCTCCAAGCAACATGTTATACACTCGCCCAGCTGCAGGAACTTCAGTATCGCCAGCCTGAAAACTTCATAAAAGAAAACCTGAGATGGACTGTAAAGCAAGCTGGATGTAGAAATTGTGAAATGCAACACAAATCGAGGCTTGCGTTTGTGTTTTGACATCTAAGCCTCTAGAAATCCCATTTTCTTGGGTTTTTCTGTAATTAAGCTGATTGTTTTTCTGAAAGCTGAAGTTCTTGAGTAACCAAGTGACTGTGATAGCCACTGCTCTGAGAGCTCCAAATATGCCAAATTCTGGTGAAAACCTCAAGGTTGGCACCTCTGCAATGTTGATGCCTTCAAAGAAGTTCTCGCATCAAGTAGGGCTCTTGTGACAATAACCTTTTGTTGCTCATTAGTTTGCCCGGAGGCTTTTAATGAACAAAATTCCTTCTTGTTTGAGATCTTAGAGTCTGGCTGGAACCTGCAAAAAAAGTTCGTGTTTGGAAAAAACCTGACTGACCCCGAGTTGAGGAAAATTGATGCCTTGAAGCTGTCATAGCGGTGAGAAGGATCTGGTTGTGCCATCCTTGCATTAAATTGTACCTTCCTGTGAGATTTGTCCTTTCTGAAATCCAGGAGTAATGCATTAGCACATTTTGGAGGTGAGAGCTGGCCGTGAGAGTCTCATTTGAATTTGACGCCACTGCTGGGGTTTTTTGGATATCGTAAATAGGAAACGGTAGAAAGACAAAGTCTGATTGACTGGAAGATTACAAAGGGAGAAGAGGTCCCAGTAACCTACAGAGAGATGGATTTAGGTTTATTTGAGGTTGGTTAGTCCTAATTATTTTTTACGATACAGGGCAAAATTAATAAAGGAGCACTTGGACTGCGCAGAGTTGAGAAAAATTATCTTAATGGGAGAATTACTCAAACATTAAACAGCATTTTAAGGAATCATAGGATCATTTAGGCTGGAAAAAACCTTTAAGATCATCAAGTCCAACCATAAACCTAGCACTGCCAAGTCCACCACTAAACGAGACGTCTCATTGCTTTGGTCCTTAAAAGCGGAGGAAGCCGAAGTGGTGGGAGCCACCACACTGGGATGGAGACTGATGTTGGGACGGGGGAGATGTTGGGGGGGTTGTATCCCTGCAGCAAGTGCATCGGCTCCTGATATTTTCTGATTCATCTAATCCCGGTGCTGGGGAGCCCGGATTGACTCGTCCCCACCAGCTCTAATGAATGCAATTAATGGTTGGGGGCTGCTGGTTGATTTTGGTGGGAGGGTGGGGGAGGCTGTTCTGGGAAGCCAGTTTCTAAATGTGCAGAAGCACAGGTTAGCTTGGCTGGGAGGCTCATGAAATTTAAATTAGGAGGATTTCGTGGGGAAGAGGAAAAAGTATTAACAAACTAAAGAGAGCTAATTACTGGAGATGGAGAACATTCGCTGTGTAGTTGTAGATGACAGCAGTAAGTAGTTCCCATCAGGGCTTTTCTTGCTTTGGAGACAAAGAGGTTGGCCATCCACTGAGTTATCAAAGATGATAAGGGACTGCATTTTATAAATGGAGATAGGCTCTAATTGCGAAAATGCCTGTGAATACTTCCGTGGCACTTTGCTGAACCCTCGTGTCACGGAGGATTTTTGAAGTCTGCTTTCCACAGTCATTACATACTGCTTCATTTGTAATGAAGTTTGCAACTCATGGAACTTCATTTGGATAAATTTTAGCTCCCCTCACCCCCAAATCTATTTTATGTCCATCTGCTAATGGGGAAAGAAATTAAACCTTGGTTCCTTGTGTAATATTGCAGCAGAGGCAGTCACAGGGATTTAACTCCTCCGCTTGAGAAGCAGAAACTACTCGGCGGCCAACCTCCACCACGCAGCACAGCTTGAGCAACACCCCACAAAGCAAATAATCATAAGCTATAAGCAAATGCATTCAAGCACACCTTAACTTAGTCCTTAATGAGAGAAATTTTACCAAATGAGTCGGTGCAAAGACTCTCCCTTGCATCTCCTTGTAGCAGAGGCTGAGTGTGGGGGGGTTAAGGGCAGGGGGATTTAGGGTGGGGGGATTTTTTGCTCTTGGATTGTTTGCCCTCCAGCTCAGCGAAATCCTGCTTTTCTGAGCACGGGTTGTGACTCTGCTAGCAGGAATCCTCTTCTCCCAAGCCCGAATAATGGCCCGTCCTGGTCTCCTAGTAACTGCGGCTGCCACATCACTTTTGACAATGGTGCATCCTTTGTAGCCTGGTTCTCCGCTCCTGCTGTCTGCTCTGTTTCTTCAAATGGCAATTGTCTGAAATTTCTCCAAATGAGCAACTTCTGTGTGTGGTGGTTTTGTTTGTTTTGTCTGTGCTGGCAGAAAGGGGTTTAGCGTGTCTTTTTGTGTTTCTTCCTTAAAGCAAGGTGAACCCTTGGGGAACATACTTTTGTGAGATAGCTTGTGGTAGAGGTCGTGTGTGTCCCCCCCCCCAATACCAAATATTGCTCCTGTTATTTTCTGAAACCATGCTCTCAAAGCATTTGAAACTTTCTGTTCTCGGAGTAAAAGTCTTCTCATTGATTATTGCACTAAAAGGCTTTCTTTGCTTGATGTATTTTGGAACTGGCCTCTGTCTAGATGTAAAAGTGTATATAATGAAACTTCGCCAGCAGCCAGCAAACCTCTCTCCAAGCTGTAGAGAAGGAATTTGACTTGTGAAGGCTGAAGCATAAAACCTGCTCTGGTGGCAATACCTGCCCTGTAACTCTGCTGGGGTGTACGGGGATTTTTGGAGCTGGCTTAGTGCTCTGGATATGGGGAGTTTTGGGGGAAAAGGAAGGCCTGGGGGGGGAAAGCTGCTTTTTTTTGGTCTCTGGAGGAGGGAATGTGTCCATGTAAGTGGGAGCCTGAAGTTTGGGTGTAGGGGGAAGGGGAGAAGGTTGGGAATACCCATCAGTGGTGCAGAATGAGCCCATGCACAAGCAATAGCAACCGAATATTCAGGTGAAAGTCCGATCCCAGCAGATCCCAAAACCGGACCCAACGCCTGATTACTAGAAGAGGCAAGTTCCGATGCATCTGAAGGGAGCTGAATTTGGGCACAGGTCGTGGTGATGCCCTGTGCCTCGTTCACAACCCCACCAGTTTATTTTCCTTCTCCCGTGAGGAGACTGAGATTGCTCTCAGTAAAAACACTTGACCTGCCTCGGTGCCACTGTGAAAACTTTATTCTCTCTCTCAAGGACAGTGTTGTTGTGGTGGTTTTTTTTTTCCCTTCAATGTAAATTAAATGCTACAATCAGAGCTCCACTTCACACACACGTACGCACGCGGGCGCACACCTTTGCACTGAGGAACGGCAGCGTTTGGAGCTGAATGTGGCGGGGCAAGGGTGGGAGCGGGCGCTGGGGAGCCGGCAGTGATACGAAGCACGGATGAGATGAAGGGGAAACGCATGAATCACTGTGTGTCAGGGGAAACACATGAATCATATATTGTGTCAGCAGATTTGACAGATTCCACCAGGATTTCTCTACGCGCGGATCCACAGTTTCAAGTCCCTGAACCCCCCTCCGTGCCACGGTGCCCAGCGTGAGCTGTGGTGGGGTGGCACCTCGGGAAGGTCCTTCCCGCCCGTCCCGGCTCCCCGTTTCCATCCCGGCAGCCCTTTGTACCCCGACGTGGGAAAACTCAGCTCCAGCTCCTGCAGAACTTGGATGTGGGGGAGATGATGTGGCTGCCCATGGACGTCTTACAGCCATGGAGGGCATCAGGTGCCTTTCCCCCCGCCCCGAGGTCTTCCCCTGGCTCCAGGCTGTGTAAGCCCACTTCTGGAGCCCTCTTTGCCTGGTCACCAACCTTTTAGGACCATGTGGCCTAGATCCAGGCAAATCCATTATTGCACTGAGAAACACAAGTCCTGATTGTAGCTTTATGTCCTATTTTCTGTAACCTAAATTCAGACCCTGCCTTCACGTACCAGTCTCTAAAGACCACGGATCCAGGCCAGGTTTAGCGATGCCGGTACCCCAGCCTAAAATTCCTCCTCTTGACATTGGAGCTTTTGGGGAAAATGGAAAATCCTCCTCTTCCTTCCTTGCTTCTGGTTTCTAGGGACCGCCGCGCTCCCGCCCCCACTTACAAAACCGTCCCCGTCCCCCCCCACCCCCCCAGCACCCGCCTGTCACCGGGGCATCCTGCGATGGGCAGAGCGCATCATCCCGAGGGGTAGTAGGGTACGTCGCTGTGATAGTTGTAATCGGGACACACTTTCTGCACGAGCCTGTAGTCTATGCTGTAGAAGGTGATATAGATGCAGATGACTTTGAAAGGCTTCGAGCAGACCCAGGAGACGTGACTTTGGGTGTGCTCGTGGTAGCAGGTCTTAGATGGGTCGTAAGTGCAGAGCGTGGTCTTCTTGGCGCGATCCACTTTCTCGTACTCCACGCGGCAGTTGAAGATTTTGGATTCTTTGGCCTCGATGAAGATCTGTTGCTCCAGGTCAAACTCTACTGCCTTGGTAGGGGGGACGAGGCTGACGGAGATGTTCCCTTGCCCGGTAGAGTTGTGTCGGAAGAAGACGTTGACTGTGCCGTTGCCGTGATCAACCACCTTTCCAGTGATCAAGAGGTTCAACTTCACCGTCTTGATATTGGAATAGAAATCTCCCCAGCCAAAAATTTTTTTAAGCTTGCCTGAGGCTGGCCCCAAGTCCCTCTGTCCTCTGGGGTGTGGAGCACGGTTTCGCTCAGACAGGTTGTCCAGGATATCCCATAACTCCCGTGAACTGCTCACCAGCTCCAGGAGGGTCATATTCTGCAGTAAGGTTGGAGTTAACAGGGACTTTGGAGAGAGCAGCCCTCTCGTCTTCTGCACTTGAGCTCTCTCCTGGGTCTTGGGTTCATGTTGCTCTGCACCTTTCCCTGGTTCTTCTTGGCCACAAATCACCTGAACGTAGCAATGGTGGAGAGTGAGAGATGGGTGATGGGTGCCTGCCCCCCCTTGCCCAGTCTTGTTCTCCAGGGTCACCCCACTCCAGGGTCACTCCAGACATGACTCAGCCATCCTCTTTCCCATCCTGGCTTTCCTTATTTCCCTTTTCTCTTGCCTTTTCTCTCTTGTGGTCCATATTTCCCTTCTGGTAGCAATTTCTCCCGTCTCTCATTCTCTTGTGGTTGCTCAGGGAATGGGTGAAGGGAGCTGGGATGGGTGCTTTTGCTCATTGATGGTGCAGCCTGGCAGTGGCACCTCACTCAGGGCAGAGCATCTGCACCCGGGGGATCTCTGCAGATGTTGGGGAGAAGGGTGCTATAGGGGAAAGCCGCACACCTGCGACAAGGGTGCTCACCTCGTGGCCTTCGCACCGATCTCGCCGCTGACAGCACGTCCCACGGACCCCTCTTCTGACCTCCAAACTGTACCATGCTCTGGGGAGACACAGAGCTGGGAGCAGTGGGGCAGGACGCGGAACAGCAAACCGCAGGGGTGAGTTCTCACCCGGGGGAGATGCCCTTTGCCTCTAACGGCCACGCACGGGCTCCTCTGCAAACTCTCCTCCTGCTAGCATGGGGGGGTCTGCCTGCCGCCAGCTGTGGACCCCAAAATAAGGACAGACAGGGGCTGGGGAGCTGCCAGGGTGGGGGGGCTCCCTTGCTGCCAGGCTGTGGGCACCCAGCGGGTACCCAGCGAGCTGGGAGGGTGCCCGGGCAGGAGGCAGATGCTGTAACCCCATCGCTTTCAGTGTTGGGGTGCTGAGCAAATGCCCACCGTGATCCCTGGGGTGTGAAGGGTTCACCTGGCAGAAAAGGCAACGGAGAAGCCAAGGTCGAGGTCGGCCTGCCAGGCTGTGCCGGAGCTTTGCCCCAGCCTGGGGGGGCCGGGGGTGCGGGTGAGCTGGTCCCTGGCAGCTCTACCAGGACTGCTGTGCTTGGGGAGGGGGGGGCTGCAGATTTTTAGGGTGATCAGGGGGGTACCATTAACACCATCCCTGCGTGCGAGCCCACCCCGCTACCTGCTGCAAAATAACAGAAGTTTTGGGACGCTTGTTTTTTCAGGGGATGGG